GGCGCCCGCTCAGATGCGCCGGCGCTGGTAGCCGTCCGGCAGCCGTCCCGTGCTTTCCTTCCCAGGGGCCATCGCGTTCTGCTCTTCTCCCAGATGACCCAGATGTTGGATATCCTCCAGGACTATATGGATTACAGAGGTGACAGCCCTTGGCCGCTGTGGGCCCGTTGTTGACGTAACAAGCCCGCGGTCCAGACGGCCCCTCCAGGGCCCTCTGGGAGGGGCTGCGGAGGAGCCCGCGGGAGGACGTCTCAGGTGGAAAGGGGCGGGGCAGGCGAGGAGAGGCCGGCGCCTGGAGGCCAGCAGGGAGGGCCCGCGGGCGGAGGTCAGCACGTGGCCACGGGACGTGACTTGGCATCACGGGCACTGGGAGAGTGTCTCGGAAGCGCCGAGTGTTCTGGAAACTACGAGGAACAGTTTCCGTGGCAGGCGTTCCGGAGTCGTCACCGAGCACCCTGTCAGCTGGGCCCTGGTTCAGCTGGTGGCCGCGGTTGCTGGAGTCAGGGGACCCACGTCTGACCCAGGGGAAGGCAGGGCGGCTGGCTTCTGTGTGGCCACGGAGGGGCGCTGTCCCTGGGGCTGTCTGCGTGCGCCCCGGTGTCTGCGGGGTACTGGGGGGGAGTTCGGTCCACCTTGGGGTCGTGGGGAAGCACCAGCTGCAGCCTGAGAGTCCGGCAGAGCGCGGAGCCACTGGATGCTCCCCAGAGGTGGCGGGCCTGGCGTGGGCGTGTGGGCAGTGCCAGGGGCGCCTCGAGGAGCCTCTCCTCCATGGTCTGTGCACGGAACCCCCTTCCCACAGGCCCCGGGCGGGTCTGATGGCAGCATCTGGCCCTGCGCCCGCCGCCCGCCTGCACGGTGAGGTCTCAGCGACGCGGCCGCCACCACGTGGCCCCGCTGCCGGCCGCCGGGCTGGTGTTAGCGCAGAGAGCTGCTCACACCACTGCGGGTATTTAAACACACCCAGCGGGTCTTTCCAGGATGAGGTGTTTTTAAAAACGATGAAATGCTCCTTAAATGTAGGTCTTTTTCCCTGGGATTGACTCACTAGGGCTGTGCCTGTGTGTGGGAAGGATCGCGTCAGCACGTGGCCTCGAGCTGACACTCCCCGGAACGCCGCAGGCTAAGGCTAACTGTGCTCTCCCTGTAAGGCTTCAGCTACGAGCGCGTGGACGGCTCCGTGAGGGGCGAAGAGCGACACCTGGCCATCAAGAACTTCGGGCAGCAGCCGGTTTTCGCTTTCCTGTTGAGCACCAGAGCAGGTGGGTCGCAGGGCCTCGCGCAGCCGCAGAGAGGCTGAGCCAGCGCCGTGGCGCCCCGC